ATGGATCTCACCGGACCACAATACAGAGAACCAGATAGATCATATCTGCATCATTAAAAAATTCCGAAGGACAATGGAAGATGTGAGAACCAAGAGAGGAGCTGACATAACTTCAGATCACCGCCTAGTTGTGGTCAATTTAAAACTGAATCTAAAGAAAAATTGGACAACTGGACAAACAGCACTACACAGGTTCAATACAGCCTTCCTTCGAGATACTGAAAAACTCAATGAATTCAAGATAGCTCTCAACAACAGGTTCCAAGCCTTACAGGATCTACTGAAGGACGAAGAAACTATGCTGGAGGACAACTGGAAAGGTATTTTTGAGGAATTACATACACATAGTTCCCTTTATCATTTTGAAAAGAGCAAGAACAAAGATTCTAGCAGAATAACATGAATTCATTTTATTTCGTAGGTTCTCGTCAGCTGCTTACAAACTGTGGTATTTAAAAAGATAATTACATAATGGGTTTAAATTGCTTACATGAGAGGGTTTATATTGAAGAAATATTCGTAAAGTATGACATGGGTGTAAATGAAATTAATAGGCCGAATATTGTAAATATATACCTAATGTGAAAGAATATTCCAGAGCATTAATCGTGACATCAGTTCAAAAGGGTTAGAAACAATTGATTACATAATGAATAAACATTTATAGGAATATAGTGAGTGGAGTTCAGTTATATCCTATCAATGCTTATTCATTATGTAATTAATTGTTTCTAACTCTTTTGAACTGATGTCACGATTAATGCTCTGGAATATTCTTTCACATTAGGTATATATTTACAATATTCGGCCTATTAATTTCATTTACACCCATGTCATACTTTACGAATATTTCTTCAATATAAACCCTCTCATGTAAGCAATTTAAACCCATTATGTAATTATCTTTTTAAATACCACAGGTTGTAAGCAGCTGACGAGAACCTACGAAATAAAATGAATTCATGTTATTCTGCTAGAATCTTTGTTCTTGCTCTTTTCATCTGGAATGGTATCAAAGAAGCACTAACTTCAAAGTGTCAAGAGGTTCTGGGCCTAAAGAAACACCATCATAAAGAATGAATCACTATAGAAACACTGGACAAGATTAAAGAAAGGAAGAACAAGAAGACAGCAGTTAACAACAGCCGTACACGAGCAGAGAAAGTCCAAGCACAAGCTGAATACATAGAAGCAAACAAACAAGTGAAGAAGAGCAATAGGGCCGACAAGAAGAAGTACGTGAAAGAACTAGCAACGACAGCAGAAAAAGCTTCAAGAGAAGGAAATATCAAACAGCTTTACGATACAACGGAGAAACTAGCAGGGAAATACAGTAAACCAGAGAGACCAGTCAAAGACAAAGAAGGCAAGACAATCGCTGAAATTCAACAAAGGCGAAACAGATGGGTAGAATACTTCGAGGAACTCTTGAATAGGCCGGCTCCAATGAATCCACCGGACATCGAAGCAGCACACACAGATCTTCTCATAGACGCCAACCCACCAACGAAGGAAGAAATCAGAATGGCCGTCAGACAAATCAAGAACGGGAAAGCAGTAGGACCCGACAACATACCAGCTGAAGCATTGAAGTCAGACGTTGAAGTAACTACAAACATGCTTCACCATCTATTCAAAAAGATTTGAGAGGAGGAACAAGTGCCGATGGACTGGAAAGAAGGGCACCTCGTCAAGATTCCAAAGAAAGGAGATCTGAGCAAATGTGAAAACTACAGAGGCATTATATTACTGTCAGTACCAGGAAAAGTCTTTAACAGAGGTTTGCTGAACTGGATGAAAGATGCAGTAGACGCCCAACTTCGAGATCAACAAGCTGGATTCCGTAAGGAACGGTCGTGCACAGACCAAATTGCGACACTACGGATCATCGTCGAACAATCAGTTGAGTGGAACTCAACATTGTACATCAACTTCATTGATTATGAAAAGGCATTTGACAGTATAGATAGGAGGACGTTATGGAAACTTCTTCGACACTATGGAGTTCCTGAGAAGATTTTCAATATTATCCGGAACTCGTACGAAGGACTACAGTGCAAGGTCGTGTATGGAGGACAGCTGACAGATGCATTCCAAGTAAGGACCGGAGTCAGACAAGGCTGTCTACTATCTCCCTCTTTCTTCTGGTGGTCAACTGGATTATGAAGACCTCGATATCTGAAGAAAAACACGGAATACAATGGACAGCTCAAAGTCAATTAGACGATTTGGACTTCTCAGATGACCTAGCCCTCCTGTCACATACACACGAACAGATGCAGACATAGAAAGCCAGTGTAGCAGCAGTCTCTGCATCAGTAGGCCTCAGCATACACAAAGGGAAAACCAAGGTCCTCAAATTCCAGGCGGAGAACAGCAATCCAATCACTCTTGATGGCGAAACTCTGGAAGATATAGAATCCTTCACATACATGGGAAGCATCATCGATGAACAAGGAAGATCAGATGCAGACGTAAATGCAAGGATTGGCAAAGCAAGGGTCGCATTCCTACAATTGAAGAACATATGGAACTCAAAACAACTTTCAACCAATATCAAAGTGAGAATCTTCAATACGAATGTCAAGACAGTTCTACTGTACAGAGCTGAAACGTGGAGAACTACAACAACCACCATCAAGAAGGTGCAAGTATTTATAAATAGCTGTCTACGCAAGATACTCAACATCCATTGGCCGGATACCATCAGAAACAGCCTTTTGTGGGAGAGAACAAACCAGCTTCCAACTGAAGAGGAAATTAGGAAAAGACGATGGAAATGGATAGGACGTACAATACTCAAATCGTCAAACTGCATCACGAGACAAGCGGAAAAGAGGAAGGCTACAGAACGAGGTATCACTTCAATTCCACACATTGACTTCCACCTAGTACATGTCTTACGTCTGTTACCCTCGTGGAGGAGCACAGGCCGCCCCACCAGTCTTCTTTATTCAACTCTGTCCTGTAATTATGGTAAACTAATTTCATTATTCTAATCCTCGGGTTATTTAAGGAAATTCGTTATAACTTCTGCTTGGTGTGCAAGCATAATAAAGGAATTCATAAGTGATAAAGACTGATGAGGGTGACAAAATTGATTTTAGTCCCTGAGAAAGTGAATTAGATAGAAAGATGTAAATATGACAGGATTGGAACTAATTTTATTCTCACTTCAATAGTAGTCTCTAAAACACTATAAATCTGGTAAGCACAATTTCATATCGCTGTTTTAAATTCGCGAACAAATTAGAACGGAATTACTTAGGATTTTAAATAGCTAAAGTTTTTGATATTCTCTTAATTACTCTCCTCAACAATGAGTTAATCCTCCAACTTATTCTTTGATATAACTCATTTAAGATGCTAAAGTTCGAATTACATACTGTCTAAATAATATATACACTATCCAAAGCTAAAGTAGTAAATTCACCTAAGTTAACGTCCCCAGTTATTTAGATATAACATGCCATTTTTGCAAATATTAATGTAGATTAAGTAATCTTTGAGAAGTAATCAATACCACATCTCTGATTGATGTAAAGCATCAGTTCCCTCGAGGTTCCAGGTACACCTTGCTGACGAGTTCCATTTATCACGAAACCTAGACCGAAAATTAACTGCTGACTATCCAAATCACCCAAAAAATATTGTAATTTGTCTATTTGAGATCCTTATGAGCTTCAAAGCAAAGTATATCATTTAGTTTAATTTCAATAAATGTAATCCATTTACCAGAACTGACTAGCAATTGAACCACAAATATGCAGAAGGATATATAAACATCAAATTCACCAATAATCAACTGTAATTTGAGATATTGTTCTGCATTAGAAAAATAGCAAGACAAGTCATAGTTATTTCATTGTTAACACTGTCGATAATTCATAGCTACGATAATTTAGGTACACAATGACGATCCTCAGTATATTAATTTTCTTAATATGAATTATATTTATCAATTTTAAGATGAGTGGATAATTACAACTAAATCTCATTATTTTAGTCTGCGTAAGTATTAAAGAGTTAATAATTATTTCTTCGGATTCTGTTTTCATTTAACTCCATAATTTACAGTTGCATAGTTGTTATTCAGAAAAGTGGTTTCAATATTCATAATAATGATCACAAATCATAATATTCCTTGATAATAGTAATATCACGAATATGTGAAATCTGTGATATTTCTGTGATTTATAAGTGCAAAAGATAAATATCTACATCAATATTCCATTTTTTACAGATTGAATCATGTCGTAACAAGAAATTCTGAATGGTTGTTTACACATATTTGTTACTTTTATTGTTGTTGCTGAGTAAAAAAAGACGCAAATTTTAATTTCAGCTAAATTAAACAAAGATGGTTCAAAAGAAATGGTGTGAGAATATATTAGTTTAGTCTATGATATGGATGTGTATGAAAATTGTGCTGAATCCAACAATAATGACTTTTTGGTAGGATAATGTTGACAAAATAAAGATAATTTCGTTGAAGTTCATTTATCAACTAATAACTACTGATAGCAAACTTATTGACATTCAGTTTTTATAAGAGGTTTAGTTTTCGTCAAGGTATAGACGCGACCGTCCCTAAGACTATACATACATTATAAACAATGAGAACTTCTAGATGGGATATTGATGAATTACATCAAATAGCTCAATACTAAATAACTAAAAATATTTGATGGTAAAGCTCATGATTTATCAAAAAGTATCACGATACTTTCATAAGCTCATCAGAATACTTAAAACGTTTTAACATATAAAAGTGGTCCTTAATTCCTTTAACTAAATTACTGACTTACTTTCAAAAAAACATTTGTAAGAGGCTCTACAAAACAAAGACATACTACATTTCTCTGCACTCGTTATTTTTTTAGGTTGTGAAGTTAGCAACAGGGAAAATGTTATAGTATTAACATTTTGTACTGATCACATCAGTATTACATGAAATCTGAACTGAATTAAAAGATCTGGTAAAGAGAAAGACAACTTTTCAATGTTTGTATACATTTTATTTAGTATGACATAGATTGTTTTACTAGTTAAAAATTGATTTCATAAAAAATCAGAGTAAAAGTGTTGAATTTTCCTTTTTTTTTTACTCCACCGAAGAAATACGGGAAACGTTATGCAGCTAATAGTACAACTAAGACAAATACCAAGCTAAAACTGAGCGCTAAATGCACAGCAAGAAGAAAGTATTTGACTACCCATAACTGCAAATGAAAAGAACAAAATAAATTTCTGAGCAATTTTATTTTACCTACAATAAATGTTTTACCTGAAATGCATTTTGTAAACACAAACATTTTAAAAGTAGAGAAATATCTAGAGCATAATCAAAATAATACACGATCCAATGATATGTACAGGGATTAACCAGCCTGTAATGTTGCTTACACAATTTATAGGGCGAGTGATTTTGACGTTAGATAAGTTATCATTCAATATAATTAATTACAAAACAATTTATACAGTCTACTAGCAGTGTTTATGTAAAACTATTATGTGCTACTTGAAATAACAATAAATGTTTGATTTCTAAAGTGAAAACGTAAGATTTCAACTTAAGGAATCCACTTATCTTCTGGCAATATTAGGATTATTGATTGCACAAAACATACGTTAACATATAATACTACGTTTTCCACTATTAAAGTCTCACGTTAGTGTTTAATTGCTATTCATAAGACGATCATAGCAGTTCCTAACAAAATATTATATATTAGGTTGAAACTCACTACTAGCGGTGGTAAAAAGTCATATCAACATATGAACATTTTTGTCATCAGTAGTAAAATCGCTTTCATATAAACAACCAATAAAAGTTCTTTTTAACAAAAACCAGTTCGTTCGATAAGTATGGAATGAGATTAAAAAAGACTGAAATAACAGATTTATTTGTGAAATCATGTTTTATGTATAAATTCTGAACAATAAATTGGATAAGATAACGCTCATTACGTGTTTTAAAATACTAATTAACTTCTGGGTTTGATTCGATTGGTTTTTTCTGGTTAGCGTAGCTGAGAAAATCGTCAACATCATTCAGAATTCATACGACGGACTACAGTGCAAAGCCATGCATGGAGGACAGCTGATAGGTGCATTCTAAGTGAGGACCTCAGTCAGACAAGACTGCTTACTCTCCCCCTTCCTCTTTCTAGTTGTTGACTAGATTATGAGGGTCTTCACATCTCAGAGGAGGCACGGAATACAATGGACAGCTAGACGATTTGGACTTCACAGATGACCTAGCTCTTCTATCCCATACACATCAACAAATGCAGATGAAGATAATTAGTGTAGCATCAGACTATGTATCAGTACGTCTCAACACACACAAGGCGAAAAACCAAGATCCTCAAATACAACATGGTGAACACCAACCCAATCACACTTGGTGGAGAAACTCTGGAAGATGTGGAAACTTTCTTGTACCTGGTAAGTACCATCGATGAACAAGGAGGATCGGATGAGGACGTAAAGGCGAGGATCAGCAAAGTAATGGCAACATTCCTACAGTTGAAGAACATATGGGACTCAAAACAACTGTCAAACAATATGAAAGTCAGAATCTTCAATAAAAATGTCAAGACGGTTCTATTGTACAGAGATGAAACGTGGAGAACTACTACAACCATCATCAAGATGGTGCAAGTATTTATAAATAGTTGTCTACAGAAGATATTCACTAACCGTTGGCCGGATACCATAAGCAAAAACCTACTGTGGTAGAGAACAAACTAACTTTTAGATGAAGAGGAAGTTGGGAAGAGACACTGGAGGTGGGTAGGACATACAATGCAGAAGTCATCAAACTGCATCACGAGGCAAGCCCTGACTTGGAGTCCTGAAGACGAAAGGAAACGAGGAGGACCAAAGAACACATGGCGTCGAGAATTTAATGTAGGCACCAAAAGAATGAATAGCAGTTGGAAACAACTGGAGAGGATTATACAGAACAGAGTTTGATGGAGAAAACTGGTGAGCGGTCCATGCTCCTCCACCAGGGGTAACATTCATAAATAAGTAAGTTTTATTCAATCCATGCGTAACAGTTTTTACGATTTGGCTTATTATATTAAAGTATGTACCAGCTTCTAAGTGGTGTATGACTGACAGTAAAGTATAAGGCGTATCCAATATGTCTTATGCTGATGAACAAATATATTTCGAAGAGATGAGTCCATATGAGTTTTCAAGATAAACCGTTGAAATAGAGATTTCTTCGAAAAGCCTGATTCCTAATTGTAGTATTTTCTACAGTACATCAACTGAATTAATTTATGATTAAGATAATTTTTTTAAAAGTTACAAATATGTTAATTAAATACTGTCATAATCATTCATTTATGAGAAAAAAAAGATACTCGTTTACCAGTTATAATGCTATTACGCATGCGGAATACATGAAATCTATTTCACAACCTTAATTGTATACAGCTTATTTGAATGACACAGGTACTTAAAGGTGGCAGTATATTAATCATTGTCACTACTAATAATCCAAAACCATGTTCAAGTGTTGGATGAATGGAGAGTTCTGAAATACAACCCTCAGAAATAGTAGTTTTACACTGTATATGAATGCTAACGGTAACTTGTCAAGCCTACGATGGTTAGTGTTGGTGAAATAATTTGTCCACGAACTGTAGCTACTCTATAAGGATTTAACCAAGACAACTGATGTGGAGTTTACATAATTACAAGCTGTGAATCATCTCCTGTTAGCCCTCGTGGAGGATCATAGGCCATGTGATTCATCGAAGGTAATATAATGCCCCATAGGTCATTAGATCTCCTTTTATAAAGTGAAGTTATTATTGTCATGGAGTCCATTTTTAACATTATACGATCACATATATATGAGGTAACATAGGTTAACTAATAATTGTCTATTGTTAAAATTTGACTAGTTATTATTATCTAAAAATTATGTAGTCCAACTTCACATAACTTCAAATTCCAACAAACATACAATAATTCTCTGAGTTTAAGTCATGAACTGATTTAAGCGAGATCACCGTTAATAATTTGGAAGCACCAAACAATTGTTTCGTTTTAGTATGAGACTCCTCAGTGGTATGCATCAACGAACCAAGCCCAGGGCTTTCGGATGCTCCTGGAGTTCTGATGAAAAGCTCTGACTAGTGTATTTCAATCATTTCAGATATGAGACAGTTATCCACAGCAGGAAATGGATGAGGATTGTGCAGTATCATTAAATGGCTGAGACAAGACACATATACAGTTGGATGTTGACTCAGTGGTTTATAGTTTAAGGGTTCGTGCCATAGATCAAAGATCATGAGTTTGCTTCCAAGATACAGAGTCATCAGAGGTGCACACTGCTGAGGAATCCCTTATTACGACGAAACAACTGTCCAATCATCCTGGGTTCTTAAATATGATTTAGCTGAGATTAATTCCACAATTCTCCATATACTAGTACAATTAATCGTTAGCTTATAATTTATCATATATATATATATATATATATATATATATATATATATAAGATGGATTCCTCTTATAAGTAGTTTTTTATAACTTGATTGGCATGTTCACATTAATTAAACGGTACCTTCTACTTTTCTAATCATATGCTTAAAAAAATAATTAGCCGTCATTGAGTTACATGTAGGATAAGCTTGACTTTTCAAATACAATCCGATCAACCTGCAACACTATTATGTTTGACTAAATAAAGTGAACTTACTGTATGGTTTTTGGTAATTTCTTTTGGTACACCTCTTTTGGACCTTTGATTCTAGGAAAAAAATAATTATAACCCGTTAGATGACAGTTATGTAACCAGGGAGAAAAAAAACAGTTGTAATATAATTTATATGAAATAATGGGAATAATTGGTGAATGTGGCTTTTTATACTAAACCAAATTATTTATCCTTTGAACCTTTCTTAAATATTTGTTTCTGCTGAAATATTCCAGTTAGAAATTCTAAATTTAACGATATCCTCCCATCTATTCAGTAGTAAACGAATTCTGTCAATCAGATTTATTAAACGAAATACACGCATTGAAATATCGAATAAGAAAGATTGGTCCAGAGGAGGCTTTCCCTTTCGGTGAATTCATTTTCAAAGTTGTACAATCGCAAATATATATACGTATTTTTCAGGATGATAATGATAACAATAATAATGATAATAAACTTCTGCTAGACATGGTAACAGTGAGGTAGAATAGACAAAGGTATTAAAAAAATTTTTTTTAACAGGGAAACTAATAATAGTTTGATTGTTATGGACTTAAATATTCATCATAAAGATAGATAGGGAAATTATGATTGGGAAAGGATGGCTCAGCACGATAAGATGAAATGCTGAAATTGAGATGAAACGTAATCAGGAGGAGCATAGAAACAGAAATAAATCGATAGGGAGGTGGAAGATTTAAAGAGAAAATGGAAGGGGAAGCAGATGGTTGTAAAGAACGGAAGGTATGAAGAGAGAAAAATGAGTTACTTGTGTTTTAGGCAGTTTCAGCTTCATGTTCTTGTCAATGAATATCAAAGGATACCCGTTTTTGACAAGTATTTCCTTCAAGAGGCCCAGTTCTTCATCTAAGACCTCAGGACTACAAATACTTTGTATTCCCGTAACGAGCGATATTATGAGGCTTCGTTTTCGACTAATGGGGATACAACAGTAGAAACTTGGGTCTCTTATAGATAGATCTACTTAGAGTTCCATCTTGTTTCCTTTTCATTTCCACATCAAGAAAGTGAACATTTAGTTTGTTTTCAACTTCAAGTGTGAAATTTATTGCTGGGTGACAGTTATTAAATGTTTTCAGAAGATAACTCAAATAATATTTGTTTTCACAAATGATAAAAATATTATCTACGTACCTTTTATACAAGTGAAATTTTTCAGTGGTCGTTTTAAGTCAAATGTTTTCTAGACTGACCATGAAGCAATCTGCTAGGAATTGACCAAGAGGGGATCTATTGCTATGCCACCCTTTTGCGAATCAGTTACGTTGTTGAATGTAAACTGTGCATTGCAATTACAACGTAGTAGTCCTTCCAAATATGCTTCCGGTATTTTGATATTAATCCCGTTATTATTTATGTAACTGCAGATAAAACGGAAATACAACTGATTTATTTGTTTCCATGCTCTTCCTGATTACGTTTCATCTCAATTTCAGCATTTCATCTTATCGTGCTGAGCCATCCGTTCCCAATCATAATTTCCCTATCTATCTTTATGATGAATATTTAAGTCCATAACAATCAAACTATTATTAGTTTCCCTGTTAAAAAAATTTTTTTTAATACCTTTGTCTATTCTACCTCACTGTTACCATGTCTAGCAGAAGTTTATTATCATTATTATTGTTATCATTATCATCCTGAAAAATACGTATATATATTTGCGATTGTACAACATTAAAAATGAATCGGATTTATAGCGGTAACGCAAAGTTACATGAATTGACGTTAGTAATAAGCAATTTTAAAATGTCATTAATCTATTTTTCATGAGCTTTTAGAACCATCATTAGCTACGATACATTCGCGAGACTACAGCGATAACTCTAACGACAAACTCGATACTACATACAATCATTGTCTTCTCTTCTAGCTAAAATCACTCCAAATCTTGTGAACAAAATGTTGAAGAAGAACAAAGAACATTAATTTACATCCATTTCTACCCAATCTACATCAATTAGTTTTAGTGATTATTGATAAAAGGATGTATTAGGAGAGCACCCAACACTTGAATGTGCAATAACAGTGAAATAATTTTCACTGTTATTGCACATTGAAATACGCTGAAGCTCAATAAATTTCCCTCATATATGATTCAATGAGAACGGAAATGAACAAAAATGTCGATGAACAGAATTCACTTAAAAGCCAATATATGAATTTTGAAGTTAATTTCTTTATAAATATTGAACTTGAGAATTTAGCGTCCCCAAAAGGCTTGCATTATTCTAACTCCATTAAGTCTAAGACATAGGCAGAGTAGTGAGTCTTGCCGGTTAACTACAACATTTATCATTGGTATAACACTTTTTGGAAACATAATTTAAACTGTAATGTGAAGTAATTTATAGACAACGAAATCTTCGGTTGCTAGTTTGTAATCTAAAAGCGAAATATGCGGAAAATAAGCAGTTTGATCCAATACTTAATTGATAAACTTTCAAAGCCTTCCTTCAGATGCTAATACACAGACTAAAAGCATTTTCCTCATCTTTAAAAACGTGATATCAAGAAATAGAGGATTCTTTAAATCTTGAAATTATTTCGCTTCTTGAATATAACAATTGTTTAACAAAACTGTTATATTACAAGGTGATAGAAGTTTTGCTGTTCTTATACAAGTTTACCGTTCCTACAGACAGGTGAACTTACTTATGTGGAGTGTACTAATATCGATAGGTCTTGATTGTTGCAGAAAATTTCAGTCATAAAATTACTTAGGGCCTAAAAAATGTGCTACAGAAAACTGTGCATGAATTTACTGAAAAGCCAATTTAAGGTACCATTTTGTTCTGAACACACACTTATTACAACAAACAAACGCAGTTAAACGGCCAAACTATAAAATGAAGGTGTTCAGTATTTGCAAATTGTTATGTATGCTTCACAAAATTTATTATCTTTCAGATTAATCAAATAGATATCAGAAAATTTTGTGACAACTTACAAGTTCTATCCTATAGTGTTCTAAAAATGTAGCTCCACGTTTCGGATCCTGAAAATAAATAATAAATTGCTTGATAAACGCCTTATAGTGTGTTTCATAGTGATAATCATACAGAAATGCTTATAGCAGTTAATTTCGCAAGTTTACCTGTCTTACTACTCCGTGATAACATTAGAAATATACTAAATAATAAGAATCGCGTATTACCTTAAATAAATAATAGCTCAGAATATTTAAAAGTTGCTCTGGGAAAGTTTCATTATCCAGTTCTTCGTCTTATAAAATTTCTAGTTGTTCTTTACATCCGTCTACCATACATCTCAACATTTATCTCAAAATCTTGCAAGATTAATTGTAAGATGAATGGTATCACTCATTTGGGATTTTTGATTTAAAACTTTCATATTTTTGTTATTTTAGAGTTCTCAAGAAAAAAGGTTCCATGTCACTTTAATTCGATGGGCAGTCTCATGTTCATATATATGATCTAACATTTAGAAATTATTTTTAGAAAACCACGCCTTTACATGGTGGTTTGTGTATGAATAGTTATTGTACTACTTATTTGTTTATTTATGTAACATAATAGGGCTTATAAATGACTGTAAGTAGACGATCTTGTATATAATGTAACCTACGAAGTTACTTGACACAAATATTGGTTGGTACTATATGATAAGCTAGTCTAAAATTGTGAACAAGCTTCTGAAATATATTTTTAACTCAGTTACTTACATAAAAATACTTATATGTTCTAAAATCCAAGTGGGATTCCGGTGTCTACAGTAACTAAATGAATGGACTAAAATCGTATATTGGGGACAAAAATTGTTCCTACTCGATAAAAAGCAGGCAGTGACACAGTATTCTGGAAAGTGTTTTAATGGGAAAACTCCGCAGTCTAATATTCTTTTTTCTAAAAGCTATATCGGCTGAAAGAAACTTGTAGTCCAATCTCGTAAAATGATAGATAATAATTTATTGAGTGATAATAATAGTCGGTAAAATTGAGTATTTCAATATAGGCTGCAGTGCGAGAACGAATAATGCAAAGCGGTGTATAAAAACGCTTTTAGCTTTTCCTTTGAGGAAACGATAGTGAACGCTAGGATCTTTTTTGAATTTTAATCACCAACACTTAAATCTTGATACAATTATTTTAATTAAAAAAACTGCATTCTTTTTTTTATAAGGGAAAATCAAAAAAGTCTCCGAAGTGACTGAAAAAATAAGTGTGCTAAATAGCTTTAAAAAGTGTACACACCTTAGTTATTAAATAAACCACAAATTAACATATTAGTAATTTACTCTATAAAGCCGCTGCAAATGTTTTGTATATAAACTACGTACAAGCTCGTGATTTTTTTCATCTGGTTGCAAATATTCATTTTTAAGATACAAATAAAGTTTTGCGAAACATCAAACAATTGTTATCTAATTTCATAACGACTGGCCAAAATGTGTGCAGTTACCTGAAGACGTATTGATAAATAGAGCCTGCAAATGAGAATCTGTGAAGATAATCCAGAAACTTAAATATCTTGTGTACTCACTATTATACTTTGAAACAAACGGATTTCTTTAATCTTCGTAAGCTAAGAAGCAAAACTTATTGTCTGGTAATGTTTGTTTCAGACTTATACGATAATAGTGCAATATTTACAGTTTGATAAATTTGAAAGACTAAATATTCAATTTTCACAATAATAAATTTACTGATTTGAAGCTACATTTGTTGGTTGAGCATTTAATATCATCTTAATTGGTGATTATTTAATTGTAATTAGTTCAGTACCCATCTAATATGGAGTAATATCGTTCGATAAATAAAGCAAACATCCAAATATAGTTAATTTTATTGTTAATATTTCAAATATAAAGCATATTTTGATGAAACTGTTCTGCATTCTGATAAAATCTTAGAACCTGAGTTACATACTTGAAATATATTCATTACTTTTTGCTAAAATTCTTCAAAATCAGACTAATTCATCTTCATTTTTCGGAACACATTAGTAAATCAGTTGTATCTAACAAAGCTGTTCATGAAAAACTTGAAAGTAATAAACACCGACTGATGCTATATTTGAAAAATACAATGATGCAACCAATTTTAACGTATATTATAGCACAGATAAACGCAACACGATCTAGATCCTAGAACACAGGGTGAACGTAACATCACACTTTATAACACACTAGTGCAAATTAAAACAGCTTACAAGATGGTAGACTTCACTAACTAACAAATGTTTATTAATGCTAAAAATATTTAAAGTCGTTTTATGATATAATAATGCCTAAAGCCTAATGCGTATTATATCGTTTTCTTGAAAATGATTCCGTTATTATAGTAAGGAGTTTTACAGTTTTGATAGCATGTTGAGATCAAAATGGCTTAATTACATAAAAAACGTAGTTTTTCAAGATAGAAGATACAATCTTTTGTACTTAGTGTAATCTGAAATCTAATACTTTCCAACTACACTCCCGAGTTAATCCGAAGCAAGAGCTACTTATTAAGAACTTTTTTGACCTATCTGCTTAGATTCTGGAGGGCAAAAAAGTGTTTCAACGGAAAATAAAGTCGTATTGTTTTAAAAAATGTGGTATGTGGGGTAATTTTGTGAACTTTTATATTTTAATGATCAGATATGAAAACCCCGAAATAAAAGTAGATACCATTGGATTTTCTAAAGCAAAATATCTTCAATTTAATCACTGTTTTAAAATCTGTTTTTGAACTTATAGTCCAAGTGGTGCTTTAGAAACTTCTAAAAATAATTACTTTGGAACCTTGGACTAAACTTTATCTTAGTTAAACAAATAAACTTGTAAATTGATATACTATGGGCTTACATTTACTTCCAGTTGATACGTTACCTATCTAACCAAAAAGAAGTTTCTCCTTATAGTGCATTTGTTAGTGACAAGAACGGTACCCAAGTAGTAGGCTATTTAACGGCAAACAGGGGAAGAAGCGTTGATGACTTTTCAAGAAGTCAACAAATGGTAACGTCTCTCTGTGGTACGATAGAGTAAGGACTTCTTTTTGATATTTGTATAACTTTATTAATTCAGTGTTACTACTACCGTATCTTTGTGCATACGAGGGTTACGAGACTGTAATTATTTCTCAAACAGTCTTGATATTTCACTCAAGAAAGGAAATGAGGAGCGTGATTTTTGAATACAATAGCCAAGAACTGATGTACTATAGGACACGGAATTGTATATAGTTATAGTACAAAAAACACCAAAAAGTATTGCTGAATTTTATAAACTTTAAAAAGTAACTTGATGAGTAGTAGCAAACTCTGACAACAATGTTTTCTGAGGACTAACTATTAATTTATTCAGTTCTTGTATCGCAAAATAAAATATGCTGACCTTAAAAGATACTTTCCTGTATTTATCATATCGAGTTAAGTGTAGTAAAAACTAATCTATTAAGTGCAAACACTTCATTACCGTTAAAATAAGGCTTTTACTGGGATTGACAAAATTATTGGTCAAGTTACGGAATTTTTGTGGTTTTACATATTGTATTCATTCACTTCATATTGTTGTTCTTTGAAAAGGGAGATATTATGAGGATTTTCAAGTTATTTCAGAAGTACCTCTTATATCAAAGTTTTATGAGAATGTGCTCCTGATTACAACTCCCCTTATAATGACAAGAGCTTTAACTAAAATGCCAGGTCTCTTGAATTATTCGTAACAATAGTTTATTAAAGGTGATATCTCTTGTAGCATTGCTTCTTATTCTTACATTGTTTATTGTGCTTGCTTACATCCTTTATGTCAAGTTTTATTATACATAGCTGTCCTAGAGATACAATGACCTCAACTTTCAATGACCACATCCGTTCGAACCGCAATAATTTACAAAAAGGATAAAAATTGGATTTTAATCTTGCAAAGGTTTCTATTTTTATTCTATATAGAAATGTATGATCAGATAAAATCGGCAGCAGTGATAAAAGCAAACCACTTACTAAAACAAAGCTAATGAAGGTCCACATTAGATTTTATAAAACTATCAACAGAGTTTTAAATAGTTTTCTAAACGCAGGTGGATTCAGAAATTTTCTTAATGAAAAGGAGGGCCGACATTTCTGTTACTGCTACAAGGACGTACAGTTAATTGAAGCTCCAAAAGTTTCGTCAAAATGCTAGGAATTTGCGTAACTCACTCAATCTTATTTCAAGTACAACTAACAATAGCAATTTTAAAGGGGTATATCATGGGGGCCAAGTCATAGTTTGGTGACTGAAATTGCCGTTTTCCAAATCGACTTGCAAATATATCAAAATGCTGTAAAGTATAAATCAATAAATTACAACCGTTCGCAAGCGTAAATATGGTATAATTAGCAGCACCATTAAATACATGGTTAAACAATCGTGACAGATATTTGATCATAAAGCATAATTGAAGTAAAAAATGTCACCACTGATTTTTACTTTAATTACTCGCAATATTTCACACTTTGTTTTCATCGATTTTTAAACGTTCCATCAAATAGATAGTACAATTGCTTTTCCCTCATCATGTTTAAAGAAGTTTAGACTTATATTTTCTAAAGAGCTGAAATGTAGAACAACGTACTAATTTTCTGATGCATCATGCCAATGGGTTTTATCTGAGAAAAAAAAATAATTCAAACAAAAATACGCAAGACTATTTGAAATGGAAAGTCTCTCCTTAGTTTAACTCACTTCTTCAATTCGAGCGAGCAGTTTGTCAGCTTCATCAGCTTGAATGCTTAGAATTGACCGCACAACTAATATAAATGTAACAATAAATAAAATCAGGGTTTTCACATTTACTTTTGACATTTTTTCCGATTTTGTATCCAATAACTTCAAGAGTTATTTCAACGATGACGTTAAGAACAACAGTAATAGCAAAAAGTGTCGAATATATTTTTGATGAACAAACACCATATCCCAAAGCAGGCATCTGTAGTCCGATTAGGGCCGTCGGGACTGCAAGCATCTGGGACAAAATTCCAGCCACCTGATGAACATATTTTGTAATAGCTCTCTGACGACCACTTGTCGTGCAGAGAAACCATGCAACAATAGGCTGAACCATCTATTAGTACTATTTCCACCTACATTTGAGAAAGTAAGCACAACGATTGCAAATCCACAAGCTGGGTGAGCGCTGAAGGGAAGATCATTTAAATTTGAGTAGCCCATAACATGTACAACAATAATCATTAGTGCCAATAAAACGAACGCAAGGGTGAATGACTGAAGAATAATGTGAAACTGAAACCAGTAAGCGAAGTTATTTATTGTCCGACCTGGCCAACCTTTCTTGAAGTGTCTCGAAATGATGATTGCATTTGGGTTACAGAAACCCCATGCTAAGATCATTAAACACGCATGAGCTTTCACATCAGAGGGAATTCTGTGTCTTTCAAAATAAATAACTATTATATTTTGATTTACTCTGAGGCGTGGTAATTGTTGTATTGGCTACCATAATAATTATAAGAAGTGTTCATTGGACGACAATATCTGATTAGTTACTTTATATTCGTAGGTCATAGTTTTCGCTGAAAAGTAACTAAAACTTTGTACAGTGTACAATATCTCATGATAAGATTGTAGTCGAGATTTTAAGAAAACTTATTGCATTTTTATGCTAACAACTAGTGATTTAGGTATCTCTTTGAGTATAAGTGGGATAGTAATGGGTGGTGCTCGTGGAATATTTTTATTAGTACCAGAAAATATGGAATTTTTTATCTGTTTCCAACGTTATGGACCATCCGAAATACAAGATGCCTTCAGTTAGTTATTGTGTTTACAACGGGCGATATATTCCCTGTAAAGTTTGCCTGTTTTTTGTTATTCAATACAGAGCTTATTCGAACAGGGTAAACATCAACTAAAGTGCTACTTATAGGTGGTAAAATCTATTTGAATTTCGGTGCAAGTGAGTTCTAAGCACGGAGGATGTGCAAAAAGTTTCTGTGGTCATGATTGATAAATTTCAACACTGGTTTACAGACAAGATGCTTACGAAGTAGGGTTGTTAAATCGAAGAACTCAGTGAAAATAAATTGCAGTATATTTTCGCACATGTTCGCGCCTAGATTTAAGTGTTAGTAATGTTCGACGAGTACAATGAAGGAAAGTAAACTGTTAAGAAACGCTAATAGCTGTATCTTTTATCACTTAACAATTTTTATTATGCTCATTTTTTCATCTGGTACCAGTCACCAGGTCATAACGCAAAAGCCTTCGTTAGCAATTTATGGTAAAATGACGTATCCAGCATAACACTGGAAACATGACTCTGAGTAGCGAGCATAGGAGTACCAACTCAAAAGATTGATAACCTCTTCTTCAGTTACAGAGAGCCTGAAACTGACGAAATGTTCTGTCTCACAAACATGGGTAAATTAAAGTCGTCGCCCTAACCATCAATATTTATTGGTCAGTAACTCCTTTCCTTCTTTTTGTGATGTTAGGTCGTTTCGAGGTTACATCTAGACGCAATATTTTTTCTTAATTGATGCTCTGTGTTTCATGCTTTCCTGAAAAACACTAATACTATAAATAATATTCTTACAAGTTTATCAGACAGCTTGCAAATCATAGACTTCAAAGTAGAAAACAAAAGGAAGCGTGACTCATTTTAACGTGATTTAGATTTATGGGTAGCCTCTGACATCTGAGTAGGATGCAAATGTGTTCGCGAGTACTAGACCACTGCAAACGAGGGCTTCATCAAGAATTCTAGCAAACATATGTAGTCCATATGGCACGCATATCGTGAAGAAAAAACAGTCCCATTTCGATGTATACTCAAAAGGGAGGAGTTTTGTCCAGTTGTTGTTTTGTTAAATTTGGACCATGCATACTTTACCTCTAGGGTCATATATATAGGGCTTGGTTAATGAATATACTGCAAGTACAGTACGATTTTTGACGAGCCTGAACTAGAAATCCAAAATAACTCTATAAAGTGTGTGTGGCCCCTTCTGGAATACTGCACATTTATATTCAGTTGCATGCGTTCTTTAGACTGACAGAAAGTTGAGAAAATGCAACATCATTTACCAAGACTTCTTACGCCTTATTCATCATATGAAGATGGATGTGAAGAGTGGAACCTGGGTTGGTGATGGCTAAGACGAATTAAACTTAACCTTACCCTACTATACTGGATTCTATATAATAAAACTACGCTAAATTGTGATACTTCAGGTCTATCAAAAGCTGTGATTTTGACCTCAATCAAAAACTAATTTTGAACTTCTGGATAAGGTTTTTGTGCTCAAGATATCAAGAACATTATGTAAATTAAGACTAACTTTCTTTGTCACACGCTATGCAAGACTCTTGAATGGGTTACCGGTAAATTTCAGATGAAATGCTAACTCAGTTTAAATCTTCTCTAGGCTACCTTATGGACCAATATGGGGTTTCTAACATGCTCTATGGGTCTTGCCTAAGCCAAGCTACATTTAAATATGGGCTGTCCTACATTTAACCTTAAGAATGAATAATCAACTGGCACCTAGTGGCTACTATTATAATTTGTGACCTGTGTGTCCTGTTTAGTGTATAACGTAGCTATACCATCAATCAGATAGCAGTGAGTTATCGATCGGATCAGTGACTCATGAAACCTATGCGAGCAGTCTAGTGTCCTGATTGGTCCTACTTCCTGCCTAGCTGAGCCTGTTAAGTCCAGGACATCAAGCTCAGCCTCTGCGATATGAATAACTTATTTGAAGTATACTGAGTTTGTATACCAACCAGACAGACAACAACGTACCATAAAATATGAAACAACATTTGTACAAGAATTAGCCAAATGTGACTGTAACTGGAGGTAGTAATTAACAGACAATCCATAACTGAAGAATGTTAAATCGTATAATAATAGTTCACCGGTCAAAATAAAGCTCACAGTAAGATGGACATGGATATGAACAGTTTAGTTGCTTAAGAATTATACGATAAAAATGTACGTATAGTAATGATCCATAAATGGATCCAAAAAGTTACCATTCGTTGTTCTTATTGGGACGTTACAACCACATCACAAAGCATAAATAGTCAACTGTCGAATACCTTTGAGATTTCACATTTTACATGTTGTTGTTGTTATACTTCTCGTATTCCCTTTTTATAACTATTAAATAATCATGTTTCTCGTGTTTCTCTTTTCATCCACACAGCGATTGATGGTGTTGCACGCATTGGACTTTTGAAATACGTTGTATCACGACCAAGTCAAATATTCTTATCCCCTTCAACAACTACCATATCTCTTAGTCGAGGATCATTGACTAATCATGAATAATCATCCTCAAACCTCGCTTGCACGAACATTGAACAAAAAAACGTTTTTTTCCCTAGTTTGCAGACAGATAACTCACCAACCCTATGAGTGCTGTTCGACGATCATAGGATGCTCAGAATATCCTAAATAATTGTGGATTCCCCTTAGTTCAAATTTATGTTCGTTTGAAAATAATTACTGTCATCCAAATATTTTGTTTTCTTACTTACCATCTTACTCATATATTTCACAGCATTTGATCAGCTACCCGTTGTTAACATTCCTAGACCACATATTATCTGGCCAGTATCATGTGACTCGTACAGTTGGTTAACATCATAGCAGTGTGATATACTAACCGGATGTCCAACCAGCGATATAAAACCTGTAACCTGATTTGCTTGTGACATGGAATCAATAGAAAGGATGAATTCCAAGACTGTGTGCAACACGGAGCTTACATTAAAGCAACATTCATACATACCACAAATGTAGGACAGACTAGAATCACAAAGGGGGGTAAGGTGGCGTTACTGACCAGCAAACATGATGGCTGGGAATAACCTCAATCCAAATGCCAATTTCTTACGCCAAACACCTCTTTGACTCATGTCTGTTACCCTGAATTTGCTTCACTTTCTACTGAGTAATCCTATCGCGAGTAAGACGGGACAATTACGCTATATATGAGTTAACTCATGAAAGTTATAAGAATAAAACATGTGTTTTATAGATTTTGACGAGAAACAGCTATTTGATTTTCCAACACTGTTTTCTTACTAACCTTTAAAAACGTAAAATCTTAAGTTTGCAGCTCTTTTAAATTACCTTTATTTGTGCAATTCTTTATTCATTCAGTGTCATACTTTAGCTTGTTTTTATTAACCCGATGTAATATATCTACCTAGAAACTGACCTAGTAAAAGAGAACGAGAATCAGGCTATAATTTATGAACGACCTTTTGCGACGCTTTAATTAATTTGGGTATTACCATCTAATTACTAGGGCTAAATGGATGCTATAAAGAAGTTTGAGGAATAAAGATTATGATTCACAGTCAATAGTTTGGGTTTGAAATTAAATTTATGGTTTTCATCACGAACTAACATCAGTTGAAATGCCAAAATGCCATTTAGACAAGTGTGTGAGTGAATTTCACGCCAAAATCCAATACCTGTCATCCTAAATCTAATTGATTTATCTTTATATTATATTCTTAATAGTCATGCTTTAATTGTTCCATCATAAGTGACTAAACTTCATTAGTCATGAACACTGTTTGTCCCGTCTCTCTTCTTTTCTTTTTTCCCTATCATTTAAGCACCCTCATGGTCTGCCACCGAAAACATCCGCGGAATAAATGACTTCGTCTTTCCCCATCGCTAATACATCCAGAATATATCTTTTATCACTAGCAAAAAGCACAAAATAATACGATGAAGTTGTCATCTTCGAATGACTGCTCAGGATCTTAATTCAGTTCATTTTCGGGGATCAATTGCTCGTCGCGACGCAGATTCTACTAAGCGCGCTAACTCTTATATTGAATATTGGAGTCTTACTAACATTGTTATTCTAGTATGCGAAAATTGATCCCCTGTTTATATAATCATTGTGTGCGAGACTAAAGTTTGTGGACGAACCAATGAGGTATAAGATAACAAGTCACAAATTTCTGCGCAAAATTCATCCATACATTTGGTTGAATAGAGTTTTATCATTATAGCTGATCTCAGTTAGTGGTGAAAAACCTAACTCTAACTTTCTACCCTAACCTTCAACTGTAAATGCGAATTATAACTGCTTTATAACCCCCATTTATTCCTAGTCAGTAGGTGTCCACCCTTTGGGTCATTTCAGCGTCCCTCATAGGTCGTCTATAAGTTATAGTCTAGCCGGTTTTGCCTGCAAAGTGAAGTGCCTCATGTAATATACTGTCATCTGAGAATATATACTATTGCATACTGGTGAGTCAAATAGGATCTAGGCCTTCCTTTCCAGTTGAGATCATGACGTAAGATATAACTACGGGAGTGATAATCAACCATTGAATCCGTTTAAAGCATTCAGCTGGTGAAATTCTGTTATATTCCTTCCACCTGCAGTATATCGGATAGGTGTAAGTTAGAAAATAAAAACGATCAGTATTCAGCGGTAGAATTCATTCCGAAAAAAATTGCGAATAATGAAGCCTAGTAGTCTTCGCAATTTCCATGCTTTAGTGGGTAAATGTTCGAAGAAGTTGAGACTGTGAGAGTGATGAAGCC